AGTTTGCAAGCCCTGCCACATCCGACGAGCGTCGGAGCCGGTGTAGAACGATTCGATCTTAGTCCTGTATTGACGCTTTGCCTGTTTAATGGCTCGTCGGAGGGCATAGCGGGATTTCTTATAAGCTTCCGGGTTAAAGTCCCGCTCTTTGAAAGCGGCAGCTCTACCCTTTATCTCAGTGCAGATGTTGCCTGTAATCCATGGCTTCTGGTTGGGGTATGTATGTACAGTCTCTGTGAGGACGACGCCATCGATGCACTTATTGATGAAGCCAGTGGCTGATGTTGTGTACTCCTCAATGCCATAAGAAGAATCCCGGAACATATTCCAGTCTGTGCTAGCAAAACAGTCCAACAAAGCAAAACTCATCACACTATCAAACATACAAAAATCAAGTGACCAGCTTGTGCAACAAAATCTGGGAGTCCATCCTAGATAAATGTCAAAATCATCTGGGTTTGGATACACGCAATTGTGCAAGCAAAGATGTCATTAGCACGGTCATTGAGAAACTAGGCTCTCCTCAAAATCAGAAATATCTCAAGGAAATAGTTGTGGATCAGAACACATCCATTAACAGGAATAATATAACACAGCTTAAAAATTATAAGGCAAAGCCAGTCACAAAAGTGGCAAACTCAACTATCAGCATTAAAAAGTGATTGTACGGGGGCCTAGAGGCGTCACTACAGACCCGGGTGGTGCACAGTTGGCCCAGAGTCGTCTGGGTTTGGCCAGGGGGGCTTTACTTGGCTCATCACGCTCTAGCAACTTCTTGTGGCGGTCATCAGTTAAACAGTGTTTCCGCCGACACATTGGTGCGTCTGGCTTCCATGTTTCGGAGGATGCATGACTTAACCTTCGCCTATCGATGTTACATTGAGCTGGGTGAATGGAATATGAACAGTCATCCAATATGCTGTATTAGAAATAAGGCCATGTTCATAAAAATAAAAATAAATTCTCCCTCATCTTAAACGGCACCAACCGCCACTGGATTAGATACTATATTGGATTATCTGATGCTGTAGAAACACCATGTAAAGTGGTGTAATTCTATTTCCTAATACTAATGTCATTCATAACCTTAGTCTGTTTGCTTCATTTTGGCAGAGGGACTGGCTATATCCTATCATAGAATCATTCTTAAAATAGTCGCTCACTGTTTGACAAAGCACAGCCCCATCTTGTACTCCCTGTTCACTCATGACTGCATGGCCACGCATGTCTCCAACTCAACATCAAGTTTGCAGACGACACAGTGGTAGGCCTGATTACTAACAATGACGAGACAGCTTACAGGGAGGTGAGGACCCTGGCGGAGTGGTGCCAGGAAAATAACTTCTCCCTCAAAGTCAACAAAATGAAGGGGCTGATTGTGGACTTCAGGAGACAGCAGAGAGCACACCCCCATCCAGTGTTCATGCATCTATCAGTGTCTGCAGTGAAAAGCTAGATGCATGACCACATGGGGATGGTAGTTCAGAATGTACCCTTGGCCAAGATCCTTAACCCTTTACTTCCTCATCCAGATGTGGTGGCTGGTAATACACTTAAAGCATGCAGGTTTGTTTAGTATTTTGTGTATTCAAACTAACATGTACTGTATAGACCACGGCTGTTCAAGTCTTACCCTACGAGGTCCAGACTACTGCTGGTTCTGTCCTACCTGAATTAATTGCACCCACCTGGCTTTGAGATCCAAATTTGAGGGGTATAGAGCAGAGTTTCCCCAACTCTCTCCTCAGGCTCCCCCAGACGTTTCACATTTTTTGTTAACCCTAAACTGGCACACCCGATTCAATTAGTCAACTAATCAAGCCTTTAATTGAATCAGGTGTGCCAGTTTAGGATTAAAACAGAAAAGTGAAACATTTGTGGGGGAGGCTCGAGGAGAGAGTTGAGAAACCCTGGTATAGACAGTAAAAGTTAAAGACAAACTGAAATGAACAGCAGAGGCAAAACTTCAATTTTATTGCTCAGGCCCATCGCTCAGGCTATTGATGACTGCTCTCCATCGCACTCTGTTCTGGGCAGTATTCTCCAGCTCGTTCCATCTCTGTTCTGGGTAGTATTCTCCAGCCTGTCCCACCTCTGTTCAGGGCAGTATTCTCCAGCTCATTTCACCCCATGCTGGTTTTTCTTATATCTGCCTTCAGCTCCCACCTCCAGGTGTTTCTTGGGTACTCTTTTCTCTTCTGGGTTTCAGGATACATCTTGCCTGGTGATGTTGGAGGGGGGCGTTCTGAGGGTGTGGCCGATCCACCCCCATCCTCCAGATCTCCTGATCCACCAGAACATAGCTGGAGTGCTCCATCTTCCCATAAGCCTGCTGCAAAACATTGGTGTCCACAGTTCTATCAAATAAATAAGACTTCCAGAAGTCTCATACACCTCCAGGGAAGGGGCTGGTCGTGGGCCTCCAAAGATGGCCACCTTGGCCGGGGTAAGATCAGCATACTTATTGTAGAGTAGCTCACTGTTCTGCATATACCATAAGACTATAACAGTGTTCATGCATCCAACAGTAATTTATTCGGATACTATTTGACCCATTGGTTTCTTTATCCTCCTCTCTCTTCTGCATACTTCCTGTGTGTGTGTGTGTAACATGTGGGAAATACACAGTACTATTCCTGTAGCCTCGAGTCTAGGGAAGCCATAGGCACTAAGCCTAAAACACTACGTATAAAATTGCTACAGTTCCATACTTACCTATGATAAACCGTCACCGTCCTCCAAAGGCACGTTGAACCTTAACATGGTTAAGGGGATACCCTGACTAAACAAACAGAGCTGAATTAAATATTGTGGCCCACGCCCTTAATCAACAATTAGCCACACCTGGCCCCATTACATGAGCATGTGTGTGTGCCTATATTTATGTGTGTGGTTCAAAGTCACTTTGTGCCGGTGCCAGATGTTAGGCACAGGTTGTTCCTCAAGTGCAAACCCATGCCAACTGGGGTGTGTGCAGTCAATATCACATTGGGATGGGAATTCACAGGGTGTACCCTTGGCCAAGATACTTCACCACAAGTTAACCCTTTACCTCCTCATAAACAACTATGTTTTGTGAGACCAAAAACAAACATGTACTGTCTAGACAAAAAAGTTGAATACAAACTACATTGAATTGCAGAGGGGGAAAAAATCCTGCTACATAGCATTGTTGTCCACATTTTTATCAATTATATGCTACAGAAGCTGGAAATGCATCATACGAAAACCTCTGAGAGATTCTGTTTGTCACTACTCATTGAGTTGACAGTCATTAACTACTTCCAGGATAGGGCCTGGTTGTGGTTTTCTGTGACTGAAGAGGGCTAACCCTCACTTGGATAAGCCCGGTGCATGGGAGGAAGCATATAGTGTGGAGATCAACTGAGGCAGCAATGCTTGGGAATTGAGTATCACTGTTGTTATGAACTTTGAACTCTTGGGTTAGATCAGAGAAGTGACCAACAGCAGGGGAAAGCAGATGGCATGATAAATGGACTGTGATGACAGGACAGAATGAGACTTGTTTTACATATACAGTACCTCATCTTGACTTCTTGTCCTTTCTTTTAATGTATTTTAGCAGCATTTCTGAGGTTGTACATGGCAACAATGTAATGTTTCACCATCAAAACATAAGCGTAGACAGCACCTTTTCTGGTGTTGTTTTTCGTGTTATCATGTTTGGTTCAGCAAATATAAGGAAAATACATTGTCTGGCTATGGCAGAGTAGCAAAATGGCTGTCACAGCCACCAGGGGGCGATTTTTAGGTTTTACATGGCACCATTGTAATCCTTGACCATTAAAACATAGGTGTAGACATCACCATTTGTGTTATCATGTTAGCATTGCTTGGAAATTGCATGTCACTGTTATAACTCCACACTCTTGGGTTGGATCAGAGAAGTGACCAACAGCAGGGGAAAGCAGATGGCATGATACTGTAGATGGACTGTGATGACAGGACTAAATGAGACTTGGTTTACATATAGCTCATCATCTTGGGACTTCTTGTCCAGACTTCTCAGTAGCATATCTGTCTTTTTTCCACCTCTCACATATTATCTCTTCCCCATCTCCTGCGTTTATTTTCTTATCCATTTCATTCCTTTCTTCTTACCCTCACACTCCCTCTGTATTCCTCCTCTTCTCTCTCTCTTCCACCCTAGTCCCTATCACAAGCTATTGAGAATTAATGTATACTAATGTAAAAACAATTACAATCGATATTTACAATAAATACTAAATCAATTTCTATTGTGAATCAATGGATAGTGAGCTGTGTCTCATGTGTTTCACCATTAACATAGTGATCTTGCTGTTATCTGGTGCGTATGGACTGTGTCATAGACCAGGGTTACCCAAAATGGGTCCTGGGGCCACCCCTGGGTGCACGTTTTGGTTTTTGCCCTAGCAGTACACAGATGATTCAAATAACCAACTCATCATCAAGCTTTGATTATTTGAATCAGCTGTGTAGTGCTAGGGTAAAAACCAGAACGTGCACCTGCTCACATACAGATGTAGTACCTTAATTTGATCACTTTTGTTGCTGAGAATTTTCATGCACCGCAGGAAATGCAGATGACCGTTGTGATTTACATAAATTCACACAAAAAAAACACACCAACACACGGTTATATTAACAGTATTGCACTTTTCATGCAGCCTACTTTTTTTGTCCAGCTAATAGCCTAACCGCCGATCAAGCAACAATATAGACTAAACGTTCAAATCTTGATGCTGCAGGATTATTTTGCTACGACAATGCTGGTCAAATTAAGATCCTATATCTGTACATGGCCCCACATGGCCTTGGCAAGGATACTAATAATAATAATAATAGGTAACACAAATGCTAGGAGTCAGGATTGGATATGTAGTTATTATTGCAAAAGGAAAGTAAAACATGCAGACTCCCTTTGAACATGAGTATTCAGGCTTTATTGAATTATCCACACCCCCCCACTGGGGTGTGATTAGCACATGAGCCATTCACATGTTCTCCCTGAGGGGGGCGACGTTGAGCGAGATCATAAATTTCTCCAAGGTGGAGAGGTACTCCTCCGGGTGACAGCGTAGATGAGCGGCGTGCACAGACTCCTTCCACTTCCTGGTTTCCACAGCAACGCCCCGCTTCCTCCAGAAGTAGATGGCCGCCTCCATGGCGACGGGGTCACACAGCACGTCGTTCTCGCAGAAGAAGAAGAGCGCCGGGGCGGTGACGGGGCTGTTGTAGAAGACCTGGACTGCGTTGTCGTAGTAGTGCACCGTCTGGGACTTGAAGAGCCAGAAGTATAGCATAGCGGTGTATCGCACCAGGGGCTCGATACGAGGGAACAAGGTCTTGCCCAGGCCTGAGGCACACACATAGATTATTTTATTTACAGGTCAAGGTTAATTACATTTAAATTATTGTTAAATCAATTGGATAGGCCCATGTCATTTCCCCATACAGTAAACACAAGAGAGGAGATAAGGTGGGAGTATGATTACTAGGTCTTCAACACACACAGCAACATTGTGACAAATACAGATGCAAAGTGCAGGCGTTTTCTCTGTCACACACCCACAGACACATAAATACACAGACACACACACACACAAACACTGACCCACATACACACACACACATACATACACACACACACACACACACAGTCTCAGTAACAGATCCCTCTACTTTCTCAGAGTAATAATCCAAACCGACAATCCTACCTCCTTTCCTTCCCCTCTCTCTCACCTGTAGCCATATGCTCCAGCGACCCGACCACCATGCTGTCATACACATGTCCTACGACCTGTTGGGCCAGGCCCGGGTACTTGTGTGGCTCCCTGACCATCTGGCTAAGCAGCTGGGTGAAGGTGTACCCGCCGATGGAGAAGGCATGGACCAGAAGGGGGCGCCCTTTGAAACGTGGGTCATCCAGAATCTCCAGGACCTCGGCCCCATACTCCAGCCCCCAGCGAGGCCACAGAAAGTGCCACACGGCGCTCTCCACAGATAGGATGTCCAGGCCGCGTTCCAGGTAGAGGTCCCGGTACTTCGCCATGGCCCCCGGTTTGGCGCCAAGCCAAGGGAGGAGCAGGAGGAGGGGACGGGGGGAGGAGGAGGAGGGCGAGGATGGAGAGAGGGGTGGTACATCCGAAGCGGAAGGGGTTAGAGTTGAGGAAATGGTGGGGTGAGAGGGCGTGTCTGAGAGAAAGGGGGTGGAGAGGGAATAGGAGGGAAGAGGAGTGTCTAGATGGGAGGATAAGGAGGGGGTGGGGGAGATGGTGGGAGGAGAGGGGGAGGGGGTATCGCCCCCTGGTGTCCGGCTGGTGTAGTAGTAGGTGATGCTTCTGGTGACCCTCTGGGCTATGACCCGCCCCTCTCCCACTAGTGCAGACATGTCTGAGTGGGAGTTACTGGGGGGAGGAAAAAGGGCCAGAATTAGAGCAGGATTGGAAGATTAGTTACAGAGGGAGAAAATATGGGTTAAACAAAAACCGCTATGCCTCAAGTGAAATTAATGTATAACCTACAGATGCAAGGTTGTGGGATCCAGCCAAGGTTGGATCAGGTATACAGATAAGACTCACAGTAGGCTATTAGTATTACAATGAAGCATTAGACAGTATAGCCAAGTTGCCTTGGTCCATATTAGACCAAAAAAGCAAAGTAAGCTTTGGACTCATAGTTCAACACAAACAGATTTGTATATATGTGCTGATGTAGGCTACTGTGTTACAGGTCAATTTGGATCAGAAACATTCCTTTGTAAATATGCTCTACTTTTTCATGCCCAATAACTTATGTTAGGCAAATGCTCAAATGGTTAAATAGCTCAGTGTCTGTCATTTAGACATACACAGTTTCATGCAACTTCTTCAAACCAAGCCAATGTCACACACAGCAGGCAGCATTCATGGCATTCTCTACAGGGCATCAAATTAACTTTTTGGTCCACCAGCCACTGTGGCAGGTATATAAAAAATCTACCAGCCACTCAGATTGTCTACCAGCCAAAATATTTTCTAAAATTACACCAACAAACCCCCCAAAAATGGATGAACATGCTTTGTAATGTTTCTAAAACAATAAACGTATTACTGGTAAGAAATAACCCATGTGGTATATTGTTTAATTAATTGTTTTGTGACCGGAGTCTTTTAACCAAAATATCACAGATGAGACAAAAAATTTCACCTGAGGGCGGGAGGTTACCGTGGTAGCATCACTAGAGTCATGTTTGTGGCTGTGTCTGGCTAGTAGAAGGGTTGTCTTCTCTTCCCTAGCAGTTCAATCTCAATCATAGAAAAACTACCTAGCTTGTGAACAAAACAATGTATATAGCCAAGAAACACAACGACAAAGTCTCACTTCAGTAGGCTTTCGTTTGAAGTAAATTAGACCAACTTTTATGCCTGTTCGCAGCGCTTCTAAAAATGCCCCCAGTCAGGCAGTGTTGCAGCGCGAGGTGGAATAGGCTATATAGGATTTGTAGTTCTTTGACTGTGCGATTAATTTACCAGCTATGACACAAACCGGCGGAAATACTTTGAAAACAGCTATTGCAGCATTTATTTTACTATACATATGATCATACTTGACTATATTTATTCACAAATGCGAGTGAAATGCTCGCACTGTGGAGCCCTGACCACCCGCCAACGTCGCCGGTGAAATAGATAATGCCAAAATCTACCCTCATTTAGCAGGTTGCTGGTGTTAATTTTAGGCCCTGATTCTGGAACTGTACCCCATGAAGAATTTGAGTATCCCCATAGCAGTTGAAAATCTGTCCACCGTCTTCTTTCTGTGAATTAACCGGGTTAGTAGATTCAAGCATTCATCTGACCCGTCCTTATAAACGAACTCGGTATACAAATAGGGTGGGAAATAACCACAGCTGTCAAGATCCTGAGTCTATTCCATTTTGAACCGCCCCCCTCTTGCGTGTCGCGGTTTTGCGCCTGCACTTCGTTGAACTGATTTCACAAATGGCATCTAGGCGCGCAGAGCTCTTGCTTGTTCTGACTACAGACATTGTGTTCTAAATTACTAAATATTAGATCAATGTACATTCCAAATTGTTTTGTTGGAGTGACATACAAAGTTGAGATGAGACCGATGAAATGTTTAGTTGAGCAAGGCTAGTGGTATCCGTGTCAGTGTGAAAAGTAGGGAATTAGCTAGGGAAACTGACAGCTCAGTAACTTACATTGCTATACTGACTCTAATAAAAGCTCACATTGCGCTGTCCAAAAAACGTCCGAATATTGGTCTTCAATCATTTGGTTTCATCGTTTGATTCAGGTCTAATGTTAGTGTGATTGAGGCAAAAATAATATCTAACGTTAGCCAACTTTTGGCTAGCTCTAATGGTACATCAACAGGCGAAAATGAGCCAAGTGAATTTACTTCTGTTGAAACGGGACAAAACAAAGACTACAAAACATTTCCATACACACTAAAGCAGTTAGATACTGCTACCTGACAGATAGCATGTGCCAGCTCATAGCAAACAGCAGGTCCAGGTAACTACTACACTTTCCTTGTGAGCATTACACTTGTCTGATTAAAAGGTTTAACTGGGTTGGAGTAAAATGGGACTTATAGCCTCTTAAAAAATCACTGTGGATTCTGGGCTTTTCATTAAAGGAATATTTTACCCCAAATCAATTTTCACATATTTCTAGTCAATCCACCATGCATACTGTGTGGGAATTCTAATCAATAATGAGGAGAGACAAGGTCAATCACCAATAAGGATATGACTTTACTCAGAACGTATTAATAGGGTAGCAAGTGAGGCTGGTCGACCCCACACTCTGAAGTGTGATGCCTAGAGCTCTGACATACAGACAATACAAAGATCGTTTATAGCAAAGATACACCCTCTCAGTTTACATGACAAACAGCAAATGTGTGGAATGAGTCAAAAGGTGAGACTTGGAATATGAGATAGTAGTATCCCCCAGCCAGATAGCATTTGCTATGAAGACTGTTCTTATTGTATGGAAACCAGAATTTGGCCCCCAAGACAAGGTTCCTCTCATCATTATCCATACCCGAGCCATCTCTCCCTGGTACCTTACATTACACAAACAACAACTCATTCTATGGAATGCATGGTGTAGGTTTTATCACCAAACCATTCATAAATCAACTGTCAGCTCCAGATACCCCTATCTCGAGTAAAACCCATGTCCTTGACCACACGCCTAGACTAGCTGCAGGGAGCTGGAGTAGAAACCATCCCTTTACAAAAACACAGCGTTAGTAGAACAGTATAGAATTGTTAACTATTAATATTAAACAAAACAGGTAAACATGTTACACGTAAATTGTTCTCTCACATTCCCCTCTCAAGGGACAATGTTCCAGGAAGAATATGAACAGTAACATGGCAAATCTTACTAACAGCTGTTGCATATAATACAGTACCAGTCAAAAGTTTGGACACACCTACTCATTCAAGGATTTTTCTTTATTTTTCCTATTTTTTACATTGTAGAATAACAGTGAAGACATGAAAACTATGAAATAACACATATGGAATCATGTAGTAACCAAAAAAGTGTTAAACAAATCAAAATATATTTGAGATTTGAGATTTTTCAAGTAGCCACCCTTTGCCAATATGACAGCTTTGCACACTCTTGGCATTCTCTCAACCAGCTTCACATGGAATGCTTTTCCAACAGCCTTGAAGGAGTTCCCACATATGCTCCTTCACTCTGCCGTCCGACTCATCCCAAACCATCTCAATTGGGTTGAGGTTGGGGATTGTGGAGGCCAGGTCATCTGATGCAGCACTCCATCACTCTCCTTATTGGTAAAATAGCCCTTACACAGCCTGGAGGTGTGTGGGGTCATTGTCCTGTTGAAAAACAAATGATAGTCTCACTAAGCCCAAACCAGATGGGATGGCGTATAGCTGTAGAATGCTGTGGTAGCCATGCTGGTTAAGTGTGCCTTGAATTATAAATAAATCACAGACAGTGTCACCAGCAAAGCACCCCCACACCATAACACCTCCTCCTCCATGCTTTACGGTGGGAACTACACATGCAGAGATCATCCGTTCACCTACACCACGTCTCACAAAGACATGGCGGTTTGAACCAAAAATCTCCAATTTGGACTCCAGACCAAAGGACACATTTCCACCGGTCTAATGTCCTTTGCTCATGTTTCTTGGCCCAAGCAAGTCTCTTCTTATTATTGGTGTCCTTTAGTAGTGGTTTCTTTGCAGCAATTCGACCATGAATGCCTGATTCACACAGTCCCCTCTGAACAGTTGATGTTGAGATGTGTCTGTTACTTGAACTCTGAGAAGCATTTATTTGGGCTGCAATTTCTGAGGCTGGTAACTCTAATGAACGTATCCTCTGCAGCAGAGGTAACTCTGGGTCTTCCATTCCTGTGGTGGTCCTCATGAGAGCCAGTTTCATCATAGCGCTTGATGGTTTTTGCGACTGCACTTGAAGAAACTTTCAAAGCTCTTGACATTTTCAGCATTAACTGACCTTCATGTCTTAAAGTAATGATGGACTGTCATTTCTCTTTGCTTATTTGAGCTGTTATTGCCATAATATGGACTTGGTCTTTTACCAAATAGGGCTATCTTCTGTATACCCCCCTACCTTGTCACAACACAACTGATTGGCTCAAACACATTAAGAAGGAATTAAATTCCACAAATTAACTTTTTAGAAGGCACACCTGTTCATTGAAATGCATTCCAGGTGACTACCTCATGACGCTGGTTGAGAGAATGCCAAGAGTGTGCAAAGCTGTCATCAAGGCAAAGGGTGGCTATTTGAAGAATCTCAAATATAAAATATATTTTCATTCGTTTAACACTTATTTGGTTACTACATGATTCCATGTGTGTTATCAAAGTTTTGATCTCTTCACTATTATTTTACAATGTAAAAAAAATAACAAAAATAAAGAAAAACCCTTGAATGAGTAGGTGTGTCCAAAGTTTTGACTGGTAGTGTGTATATATATATATATATATATAAACCCCGGGGCTCCACATGCGGTAGTCCGGCCCTGTATTGTGAGGTCCCTTGCAATTCCAAGCCCTAAAAAGTAATAATAAATAATTATTATTAAAAAGTAGGCTATAGCCTCCTTTTGTAATAAAATGAAAAGTCTGAGTTTATTTTGCTGTCAGCACCCTACTGGTAGGCCTATTATAATGCAGAAATTGACTAAACATTATAAATTGTTGCATGAAGCTGCTATGATACAGTTTTAGTATGGAGAATATAATCACTTCGACAAACTGTACTTGCGCTGATTCTCCAGCAGATGTCAATCATGGATGGACTTGTTAAATTCCAGTCTTGGTTGTCTTCATATAGAGTCCCGAAATATGGGTTGTCATTAGCTTGGCGGCAGGTAGCCTAGT